TACACAGTTAACATGACTTTTGTAAACTTCCAAGTTCGGATACCTACACGCCTCAAGCTGTTCTCAAGTTCAAGTGTTTCCTTACACATTTGATTCAGGCAATATTTACATAACTCTACAGTTTCATGGATGGCCGCTTACAACATAAGACGCAAGACGGCCCTGTGCCGCCTTAACAGCGGCGTTATGAGCACAAACACCGGGCAGTGTGTCCTTACCTTCAGGCCGCCCTCACCGAACAGACCCTCCGGCACTTTGCAGGCTATCAGGGCGTTCGGTAGGTCGGTGAACTTCACGTCCACCGTCGCCTCTTCAGCGCTGCCGTTCTCCGTGTGCTGCATACCGACTCTTTATGCGGACAGTAGTCTGGAAACACGCGAACAGAGCTCCGTTACAACAACAAGGGATACACGTTAGGTAGCGTACGTTAGCGTATACAAATATATCATAGTTGGACATAATACTGGGATAACGCCCAGCACTGGTGCTTCACGTTATTAACTGTGTCGTGCACTATTGGGAAGCTAACAAAAGGACGTGTTGACGGCCATGCATACCAGAAAAGCTGTATCCGTTATTTCATGACACTCTCTCCGGTGGTGTCCTCTAAACAGCCGTCAGACGGGGAAGAAAGCGTATTAACGTTAGCTTGAAGCTGCTGCGTTAGCAACTAATGCTAACCGGTAATCTGGAATTATGCTCCTGAAGTAACGTTATCGTAACACGCGTTACTCCGTGAATATTTCCTTCCGGTAGTGACAGCTGGCGTTGTCTTGGTCCTAAACAGCACAGGGCTCTCTATTATTGACTGTAACCGCAGCTCTCGGATAGATTTATTAGCATGGCGCAGAGGATAAAGGAGATGACGGAGACCGTGCAGCTGCAGCTTCTTCTTCGTTGGTGCCGCTTATCGCAGCATCCGGCCTCCGCGGTGCTTTAGCGCCGACCTTCGGTGTTAGCGAACGCGTAGAACCGGGTACCAATGAGTTTAATACACGCATTATTAGTATTATTTACCTAGTAACAAAGGTTACAAAACTATATATATATACTATAATATATGTCTGAGAATTGAACATAGACACACACACAACAATGTTTTAGTGATGATCAAAAGTCAGTATTGTAAATCCCAGTAAACAGCGGAGGTGGAAAGAGCACTGAAAATGTGTACTCAAGTACAAGTACTGTTACATTGCTTAAATTGTACTCAATTACGAGTAAAAGTGCTAGTGTTGAAAAAAAATACTTAAGTAAAAGTACAAAGTACTCTTCTCAAAAACGAGACAGAGTACAAATTACTTTTTAACCGATGGATGTTTTATTGCATTGTCAATAGCAGACATTGAAATAAATGAAACTTTGAACTATGCAGTTGATTTGAATCCTTCCCATATTTGTATAAAATTGAAATAAAGACTAGCCCACTTTAATATAAATAAAACATTAAGCCGCAGCTTAATGTTTTAAAATATTCTTATGAACATTTCTTTCATGTATTCTCCATCTGTGAACGGCATCCTTCTCCTTACTATCACCTGAGCTGCTGCAAATGAGTCTGTCCATGCTGAATTAAACTCTATTTTCTTCAGAGAATTTTCTTTTTTTGGATTTATTCATGGTTTGCTTACCCTGTAAGCTCAAGAAGCCACCTGTGCTCTGCCGTCAGTCATCAGCCGCAGAGTAACCTAGCAACCGGATAGACGGCGAAGAACGAGACAACATTTCTGCTTAATCTAACATGTTTCAGACTCGCCCGATTTATATTTATACCTGTATTTTGATATTTTAAATTTCAGGGGATTTTGATATTAGATTATTAAAGTTGGTTTGCGAGGTTGTGGAGTTCCTCAAATGAAAAAGGTTTTACTAGGCTATTAAAGAAATTTTCGGGAAGGCGGGATGTTTAAAAAAAAAAAATCATACCGCCATTCTGACCATAGGAGGAAAAAAAGTGTCGGAATGACGGGACGTTTGATAGAAAATTAAGTGTTGCCATTCTGATAATTTGAGGCCCACGTCAGACTGGTGGGATGTCGGAATGGTGGCATGTAACCCACTGACTCCACACCTTAGCTAGCTCTGTCTTATTATCAGGCTAACCAATGGCAGCTTTGCAGACTTATCTTAGCCAAATTAATAACCTAAACACAGGAAACAAAAATGAAAGCAATATCATAGTTGTAAAAGATCTTACCGCAATGTGTTTTTTTTAGATTAGACGTTGAAGTCTTGTAAGCAGATATCACCGTGTTGGTCAAGTTTGCACTTCATCTGGACGCTGTCTCCTTTTCTCCTTGTGTAAATGAAAAATTCCTCCAGGTACGGCCACGGGCAGTCGTCCCCCATCTTTTGTTTATTATTTTCCCTGGACACTTGGACTCTAATACGGTGGCCCTGAAGTGCAAAACACGGCAAATAGGAAAACACAACGAAATTACCTTGTTACGGAAAGGGTAGGGCCTTATAACAGCTAGCTCTGTCTTATTATCAGGCTAACCAATGGCAGCTTTGCAGACTTATCTTAGCCAAATTAATAACCTAAACACAGGAAACAAAAATGAAAGCAATATCATAGTTGTAAAAGATCTTACAGAGGACAGACCCTTCTGATTGGACAGACTGTCTTTTAACCCCCTTAATCCGAAGCCTTTCACCGGTGACGGAAAGTGACATGGAGGATTCAAATTAGTGACTCCTTAACTATTTGCACAATCGGATTCTGAAAGCTGAAAAATGCCGCTCTCTAGATATTATGTCAATCAATAAATCAGTGGCGGGACTGAGAGCCTGTGATGAGGGGGGAAGTGAGCGCAGCAGGAGAGCCGCAGCAGAAAGTCACGGAGAGATGACGGTGTTTTAGGGTGTGTCCTCTGCTATAAGGCCCTACCCTTTCTGTAAGAAGTTAATTTCGTTGTGTTTTCCTATTTGCCGTTGTGTTTTGCACTTCAGGGCCACCGTACTCCAATGCTTCCAAACAAATCCAAGCATTCATATCTGTGTTCATGATGAGAGCTCAGTCTGACCCGGCTCTGGCTCATATGTTGCCCATATGGGTACCCATGCGTCCACATAAATGTTTTTATAGTATCATCCCAGTAGTTGCTGCCAGGTGGACATCTGTCAACAACAAGAGCATGAAAATAGCATCATTGGTAAAGGGGTAATGAGTTTTGTATTTGCATTTGACACAACTAAGGACACTATGTTATGTTGTATTCACATCCTCCTCATTTCTATGACGTATTTTCCATTTGAAATGTTCTAAAAGCTGCATATTACAGTGACAGCCCGTGAAGCCATTATAATTAGTAAACCAATAGAACACACATATATATATATATATATATATATATATATATATATATATATATATAATTAGCTGTTTATTTATTTATAACTGCAAATCACAAATGATTAACTTGAAACATTTATAAAATTTGCATTGATGTACAGGAATGATAAACACTATTACACACTTAAACATTGTACTTTTAAATTAAAAAAGCCCGAACGGTTTAAAAAAATTATATGAAGCTTCATATTAAAAACTCATCAAAACATGAACACTAGAGCTGTTACAACAACAAAAAACTATACCAACAGTCAACGTCTTCGCTAGGGAAAACGGCAGTTATACTGTGAACATACAGTAAAAATGTTTGAAATATCAGGCATTATTAAAAATAAATAAATGAATATACAAATATATATTCCAATCATAGAAATTGTGCTCTTCCTATGTGCCTATATGCTAAAAATATAATAAGAAAAATGACATTACGTAAGGAAGTAAGGAACTTCCATTGAAGTGGTGCTGGTCCCTGGGTGGCAGAGGAGTTTAAGCGCCAGGTCATGTGGGGATCAGCCTCCATTTAATCCTCTGGAGAGAGAGAGAGCTAGAGCGAGAGAGAGAGTTGGTATTTATTGATGTCTAACTGGGCTTAAGGTACACTACTAATTTGAGCACCACAGCCACAAGTAAAGAGGAAAAAGAGTGAACCTGTAAATATACAGTCTTTGGATCGGTGTAGGTAAAATATCAATGTCTGGATTTTCTGCCCTCTGCCTGGAATTCTGGAACTTCTGGGAAATCCACAGGTCTTTTACATCTCGGGAACTATTGTTCAAACCTGGACATCAGGAAATTTGCCTCTTTGGAAATTTGTGACAATCTATTCTCGCCTCTTGCATCTTGGCTCCGAACAACAGAATCACAGTGAGGTCTTTTAAAACGATTTTTCTGGAATACTGGGTTTATTTCATGATCTTTGGTAACTTCACCCACTCGGAATCATTGTGGGACCTAATCTGAAACTGGATCCCTTTTGCCTCCAAAGTCTGTCTTTGACTGATTTTGGAATACTGGGCACAAACCTTCAACTTCTTGTAGAATTTTGAATCTTGTAGAATTGCACACTAATCTGTGACACTTGGGCCTCAATTATTCTGAAGTAAGTTTTCCATTATTTCCTCAAAGTCTCTCAATGGCTCAGTCAGGATCCTGCCCTAACCCAGACTTCTCATACGGCACTATTGTCTACGCCCCTCTAGGTATTTGTTCAGACCTGGATACCCAGAGAGGAAGAGAGGATGAGGATGGAGACGAGGATGATGAGGTGGAAATAGCCGAGGAAGTAGGGGAGGAGGTTCTGATGATGACCGAATCAGAAGTGGGGCAATCTAAAGTAGACAGCAGAGAACCAAGTGAAAGGGGGGAAGTCAAGATTATCCAAGGGGGGCTGTTAATAAATGAAGTGATAAAAGAGGAGGAGGAAGGAGGAAATGGGGAGGCAGGAGTGGAAGTGGAGGATGAAGAGCACAACATTATAGAAGAAGAGACAAGAGAAACCGAAGCTGAGGAAAAGGGCATAAAGACCATGCTTGAACATCCCTGTCACTTTTCTGGATTGATTAAGGTTGAGAAACTTCAAGAGCAGGTATTAAGCAGCAACAAGGAAGAGGAAGGAGACAAGGAAGATGAAGAAAACAAATCAAAAGCAGGAATAACAAGTTTGGAAACACAGGTAAGGGAAGATAAGACCCCTGACAGAGACAACTGGTTAGAAGACCAGCAGATAGAGTCCACCTCTTACAATGAAGAGCAAGTTCAGCATTCAGGTTGTCTTGGAGAAGAACCAGGAGAGGGTCCGCAGTGTTCAGATAACTTGGACAATGCGGATGTTGTTACTTTACCCCCCAATGGGGATGTAACAAAAAGCTTTGAGTACTCAACAATATATTTGACCTCCGTTACCACAGGGATAAAAGAGCAAGTGAACTGTCAGGAGGATCCATGCCAAACCTCAACTGTTAAAAACAGTAGCATATCCTTTAATATGATTCCTGTAATTGAACTGGTGGCCAATCAGACTGACCAATTAATTAGTGAGAAGAATGATGACATGGAAAGCACTGCTGAAAAGGGCAACGCAGAATCCAGTAAAACGGAAGTTGACAACATTAATAATCTGATCCATAGGCAGCGGGTTTATTTCATGATCTTTGGTAACTTCACCCACTCGGAATCATTGTGGGACCTAATCTGAAACTGGATCCCTTTTGCCTCCAAAGTCTGTCTTTGACTGATTTTGGAATACTGGGCACAAACCTTCAACTTCTTGTAGAATTTTGAATCTTGTAGAATTGCACACTAATCTGTGACACTTGGGCCTCAATTATTCTGAAGTAAGTTTTCCATTATTTCCTCAAAGTCTCTCAATGGCTCAGTCAGGATCCTGCCCTAACCCAGACTTCTCATACGGCACTATTGTCTACGCCCCTCTAGGTATTTGTTCAGACCTGGATACCCAGAGAGGAAGAGAGGATGAGGATGGAGACGAGGATGATGAGGTGGAAATAGCCGAGGAAGTAGGGGAGGAGGTTCTGATGATGACCGAATCAGAAGTGGGGCAATCTAAAGTAGACAGCAGAGAACCAAGTGAAAGGGGGGAAGTCAAGATTATCCAAGGGGGGCTGTTAATAAATGAAGTGATAAAAGAGGAGGAGGAAGGAGGAAATGGGGAGGCAGGAGTGGAAGTGGAGGATGAAGAGCACAACATTATAGAAGAAGAGACAAGAGAAACCGAAGCTGAGGAAAAGGGCATAAAAACCATGCTTGAACATCCCTGTCACTTTTCTGGATTGATTAAGGTTGAGAAACTTCAAGAGCAGGTATTAAGCAGCAACAAGGAAGAGGAAGGAGACAAGGAAGATGAAGAAAACAAATCAAAAGCAGGAATAACAAGTTTGGAAACACAGGTAAGGGAAGATAAGACCCCTGACAGAGACAACTGGTTAGAAGACCAGCAGATAGAGTCCACCTCTTACAATGAAGAGCAAGTTCAGCATTCAGGTTGTCTTGGAGAAGAACCAGGAGAGGGTCCGCAGTGTTCAGATAACTTGGACAATGCGGATGTTGTTACTTTACCCCCCAATGGGGATGTAACAAAAAGCTTTGAGTACTCAACAATATATTTGACCTCCGTTACCACAGGGATAAAAGAGCAAGTGAACTGTCAGGAGGATCCATGCCAAACCTCAACTGTTAAAAACAGTAGCATATCCTTTAATATGATTCCTGTAATTGAACTGGTGGCCAATCAGACTGACCAATTAATTAGTGAGAAGAATGATGACATGGAAAGCACTGCTGAAAAGGGCAACGCAGAATCCAGTAAAACGGAAGTTGACAACATTAATAATCTGATCCATAGGCAGCAGGAGGATTTCATAGAAGCAAAGGTTGATGATCAGGCAACATACAAGTCTGTGGAAAATACAATGACCTCTCCCGATGATGATGTAGAGCTAGTGGGTGAAGTAAATCAGAAGGTAGAGACACCAGATTTTGACCTTGAAGAACAGGAATGTATAGAAGGAGAGATTGGGGAAACAAGGACGGTAGAGATCAACAAGAAGGAGCAAGATGAGAAGGAAGTGCAAAATGGTGGGATTAATATTCTAACAGTGATGGATGGAAGTGGACAAAGTACAGAACAGGATTGGAAGAAGGGTGCTAAAGATATTACAGAGTCAATGGGGGAGGAAGAACTCAGAGGAAGAATTGATCTAAAAATGCAGAATGATAAGATTGCTAAAGTTGAAAACCAGGCTGATGAGGATTCCCCAGAACAGGTATCGCGGAGTGTGGAGGAGGTACCATTGGGCCAGCAGCGAGATGTAGAACTGGAGCAGGTGGAGAAAGCCTTTGAAAAGGAGGAAGGGAGTGAGGATCTACCTGATAACCCTGGAGGAGAGGTCACATCAGACCAGAATGAGTCCACAACAGAGCAAGCAGTTGGTTTGCAAGAACATCCTTTACAGCTGCACAAAGAAGGAAGAACCAATTGGGAAGAAACATGGGGCAGAGATGAACGCCTTGTAGAAGACGAGAAGGGAGGAGAAGCAGAAGAAGAAGCAAAAGAGTTAGAGATGGAAGAGCCTGTGACTGTTTTAGATGACGAGACTGAAGAGATGGAGGCCAGTCCATGGACGGAAGATAAAGATCAAAAGCCTGCGTCTCTAACACCTCCTTCTGGACACACTGTAGTAGAGACAATGGATCCAGATCATCAAGAAGAGCAGCTTGAACTTGCTCCAGAGAAAGATGAGAAAATTACCGATGGAAAAGAAGAGCAACAAAAGAGTGACAAACAGAGACAGGAAAAGGTAAAGAAGGATGAGAAGCAGAAAGATGAAGAGTTAGAAAAGGTAGAAAATCAGAGCGATGATGAGGAAAATGAAGCGATGGGGGAGAAACACAGAGATGAAGAGGGAGAGGTAGAGAAAGAAGATGGGAAACAAAGTGATGAACAACAACAGATAGAGAAGGACGAAAAACTAAAAGATGAAAAAGAAGAGGTGGAGAGGGATGAAAAACACAGGGATGAAGAAGAACATGGGGAAAAAGAGGAGAGCCCAAACAGTGGCAACAGAGAAGTAGAATTAGATATAAATGGAAGATTTAAAGGACCGGAACAAGCAATGGAGAATGGGATCTTGTGTCAGGAGCCACAGCCTCACAGGATGGAAGAATTAGGGACGGTAAGAGTGCTGCCGCCCAGAAGGAAGGATAACGACTGGAGCAAAAAAGTGCAACCAGAGGAAGAGAGAGCCCCAGAAGTGAAACTCTGGAGGAATGAACTGAGGCCTGTGAAAAAAGATGTCTGGGAATCTGAGAGGGGAAGAGTAGAGGGAGAGAAAAGTCCTCCAAGGAAGGAGGAATGGATAAAGGAGCTGAAGTCAGTGATCAAACACGATACTCGGCCCAAGAAGAGGGACGAAAAGGCAAAGGAAAAGAGAGTGGTGCTGTTGGAGGATGGCCACTCGTACATCCCCCAGCGGGAGGAGATGATCAAAGAGAAGATGGAGGAGGTGAAACTGATGTCCCACAGGAGAATGGAGAGGCCTTTGGCACCTGTGCGTGGCAACAGAAACACACCTCGGGACCAGGACTACGAGATCTCCCTGTATGTCAAGGTAATGAACCATGTGAGCTGACATATACTATATTCAAAAGAGGGGTTCTTGTTGTCTAAGATTTAATAGTCCTAGCAACCTGTAATGACATAATGAAGCTAAAGGTTATATGTATTGACTGAAAACCCAAATCTACATACCTACAAGCACAATATGCAATATAATGAACGTTTAGCCAAACCTCCACCAACGTTAGCTTGCAGACTCAACGGAAAAGTTCCACGGAAAAAATGCACTAGTACTAAGTAAAGTAGTGTTTGGCTGCTGTATATCTGCGTCTTGTCAGGAACTGTTTCATATTCACTGTTTCAGAGCTATTTATTTTCCTCCCTTATCTAACTCAGTCAGGGATCCATCCGACATGGTAGTCTATGTTGCTCTATGCATGAAATCCTTAAGGGTGTGGACATAATGATAGCAACATACATATTCAATTACAAGCCATGGCCTTGCTAGAGCCGTGACCTTTGTGAAGCTTTGATTTGTTATTTTATACAGATAACTATTGCACCTTCTATATGTGGGTTCTTCGTCTTGAATGAACATGAGTGTACTTATTAGGTAAAGACCTGCACACATGTACACATGCAGAGAGGTCTGGTTCTCTGGTCCAGCAGCACATTCCTAACTGAAGTGAAAATAAAAGAGGCCAGCTGAGAGGTTTAACACCATGAAGAAATTCACTAATATCTTCAGACGTACACACAAAACAAGCTTGTTCTCTGTGGGAGCTCACATTCAAACAAAGGAGACTCTGTTGGCAGCACAAGCTGAGGTAGGAAAATAATGGAAAGGCTCAAACTTCCTTCTGCACCTGAAGGACTTCATTTAGACTGGCTTTACCCCCCTGTCTGGGACAATGAGTCGGCCAGTTAATTCAGGTCTGTGCAGGATTTCATTCCGTAGTTCTTTCTCCATTGCAAAACACACGATGAATGATTAAGAGGTTGACTTGTCATGATGCACCGTAAAGCAGTTGTCCGGTATGACACTCTCTCTTGGTGCTTTTAGGCCACTAATGAGTGACCAACAGAGCTGTGCCGCTGCTGCCTGTTGCACGCAGGGTTAATCTCTGCATTCTCACCCTGTAAGCTGATTAGCCTGCTGTTTGGTGCAGGGAGCTCTGGGCACAGCGGTGCTGGAAAGAACACATACTCCTTCTAGAAGTAAATACTGCATGCACACTTTGCATGCACACCAAAACTCGACTGACAGACAAGGCCAATTCTCACGGGATTAAGATCATCGAGAACCTTTACAGTGATCACGAATGAGAAGAGGTCCCAAGGTAGAATTAGTCCTGTGAGAACAGGGTTTTGATGTTGATCCTGTCAATCAGACCGAGGGAAGGATAGCCCTATTATAGCCAAACAGAGATATTTTGTATCAGTACAATTTAACTCCATGGCTAAAAAGAAACGATTAGTTACTTTACAGAAAGGAAGGAAGCGCCCCAGCAACTAGAAACGTGCACACAGAGATCTGATCTCCACCAGTTATGTTGGTAATGAGCACTGTTATAGCCTTATATAAATTGAAAAACATTCAGCCCAACATTTTTGGACGTGTTTTTACTCGCGTAACAAAAGTGCCCCTATTTAAATTTCTGTGAACATTTGCTCTGGCTGTCGGCTTGCCAGCGGAACCTTTATCAATGCTGGAGGCCTATTTTATGACAATACGCCGGTGAACGTGGGCTTGATGCTCAATCGAAAGCCACAAAATAACTGCGTAGCTGATGGCTAAACCCTCTATTTTCCCAGAGACATACAGACTGTAGTTTGTCCCACTCTGTTTCTGGATGTGACGCAGAAGCTGCGAGTTGATGATGTACTCAGCTGTTTTATACCTAGCTGCTTGACCTTGAGTCAGCAGGCTTTATACAACAGGTAATAAAACATTTTTTAAGAGTTTAAGTCACCGCATGAGCCATAGCTGACCATCCAAATCATTGTGCAGATCCACCAGAAACAGAGGAACAGCATTTACTGCCACCGCACATACATGTGCGGTGGCAGTAAATGCTGTTAACTCTTAACTCTTTGGTGACATGTAAAGAATCCACGTTGGAACAAAAGAGGCTTTTCAGCTGTTGTGGGTGGCTGTGAGACTTTGTGTTTGGTTGAGATTCCACTCCCACCCACTCCTCTGGAAAATGAAGGAACATTTGCATTGTTCTGTGCCTCCCAACTTCACGCGAACACCGGCCTTGTGTCAGATTGGGACCGAATGTAAACTAAGGCAGAGTGTCAAATGACAAGTCCGAAGCTCAGTGGGGGACTGTATACAACAGGAACCGTCACAAGCACGTTAACCACATAAGCGTATGAGTATTTGGTTCAGAAACGTTGGCGGTTCTCAGAAGCCAACATTGTTTATGCCGACAGTGTAAAGGAAACCCTCGCACCACTACTACAACCCTAAGAATAACATCAATCTATGGCCAGCTTCTTGCTCCTACAAGGCTTTTTATATAAATTTTTCAACTTTGGGAACATATTTTCCCCCACAATTGTATCAATACCCACACATATTTTCACATGAGAGTGAGATCAACAATAGTTCTGACAAAGAGGGGTTGGGTTTGGAGGAAAGACTGGCATTCCGGAGAAAGCAGAAGAGAAATAACCCGTGCTGTCAGGAGTGGGCAGATGTACAGACAGGCAGGTCTGGTCTGTGGTCGCTATCATGCTTGTGTTAAAGGAGAATTCAATTAACTAAACATGGGTTATATTCTTGTTGGGGAGGTTTTTTTGTTACCTATGTAAGAAGCGGTCAACAGAGCAGTGTGAGCTTTCCCACCACCATGTCCTGGTGTGACATGGCAGTTAAGAAATTGGGCTTCCCTACCATTGAGCTATTTGTAAAGGTAAGTGACATTGTAATTATCTTCACAAGTCCCTGTCAGCACGTTTTAACCGATAACTATTACAGTTTCCAATAATGGTAACATATGGTCAATGAGTGCAGGTTTAACCACGGACACAAGGTGAGTCCTTGGATTTGACAGGCCAGGTCATAACAATGTTTGACGTCACGGAATGTCACAGTGATGTCATACACCTCCAGCATTTCTTTCAGTGGAGCTTCTGTCTTTGTTTGACTATCAACAGGCCGCTATAACCTGGTCATAGGTCAGTTAAAATGTGAGCACTGACACTGTATTATGTGATCTACAGTATTCTCTAATTTCTTCACTGTGTGTATGTGTATATGTGTAGGCGGGAAGTGACGGAGAGAGCATTGGCAACTGTCCATTCTCTCAGAGACTCTTTATGATCCTGTGGCTTAAAGGAGTCATCTTCAACGTCACCACGGTTGACCTCAAACGGTAACAGACTTCACACACACATCATTCTATATTGGGAGCATTGGCCATAGTTTTTTTCTCTGGTATGGATTTACAAAGCTAAATCTTTCATTCCCTGTTGAAGGAAAGATGGCCTCTAATTGAAATGAGCATTGGAATTGTGTGAATAAATACGTCAATAGAAATTGTTCCCCCAAATAACCCCAATTATCTTAGATTTCAATTATTGGTCATTTTGGATGCTGATAAAAAACTTCCCAGTAAATAATAGTAATTTCTTTTGATAATTATTAGATGTTTGAGTAATTTCCACTGTAGATAGCAGAAAATCATAACTTTCTTTACGGAGACAAGCCACAGAGATCAGCAACTCCCCTTTCACGGCACGAAAAGGGGACGCAAATTAATTACAAATAGTCGGGCGTGTACACTCACGCGAGTAAAGCTTTACAAAAATTTGCTTTTGGTGTGAACGTACCATAATATCTTGGTAAACACTACGATCTTCATCCTCATTACAGACTTTCTCAGTGTCTACATGAATGTTTTGTGTTGCCAGGAAGCCGGCTGACCTGCAGGACCTCGCCCCTGGAACAAACCCTCCTTTTGTGACCTTCAATGGCGAAGTCAAAGTTGACGTCAACAAGATCGAGGAGTTCCTGGAGGAGAAACTGACCCCACCCCGGTACAGAACATACATTTACACACATTGACTTACGCACATTATACAGGCATATTCAGTGGACTTCTCTATCACATCTTTAACGTCAGCTACCCCAGACTGGCTCCCAAACATCCTGAAGCCAACACAGCGGGAATTGACGTGTTTGCCAAGTTCTCAGCATACATCAAAAATCCGAGGAAAGACACCAACGACGGTAAGAGAAAGACCGCGTGACGACCGGCTTCAAGTAATTTTACCAACCAAACTCTAGGATGTAACAAACGAGTGAAAGCAGAGCAAATAAATTCCCGTGCCACTTTACAATGCCACCGTGGAGGGATAAGTGTTGATGTCGATGGACCTTTGTTGTGGTCATTAATCCTTACATTTTTTACATTTATCACTTTATACAAGCAATATAGTTTGTAAATGAGACTGATTTGGTCCAGAAATGGCGCAAAACGTCTTCCAGTTGGATTTGATCATGGTCTGATTATGTTTTTGCCACAAATTGAGCAAGAGTTTGATTTAACCAACCCCATCAAAACGGTTCCAGTTCAGCAATTTGGATTCGCACTTAAGTGCCAATACTGCGTTCAGACACTTCCAAACAAACCGTACGTAAGTCGGTAAACGCTCCAGATTTCAACTCACCAAACTAATCTAGTGGGTACTAGAGAGTGGCTGCTGAAAATAGTGGCGCATGAAGACTGGCAGATGTATGTCTCAGAATGTGGTGGAGACCAAAAATCGAGCAAGACACTTTCAAACTGTGATGTTTTTCTGTGTCTGTTGGATGCCGATGTAGACTGTATGTAAACAAGATCACCATATAAACTTTATAATGTCAATATTGAGTTTACAGCTGCTCCCATTTGACCAAAAGCATGCAGCTCTGCGGTAATGTGCTTGAGATCTCTCTAAAGGTCAGGTGACGGTTCCATCAGTAACTCAGGGAGATATATTATATTATCGTATCTGTGAGTCTAGTGCTCAGTCTCCATTTCTATCTGCAGCCTTAGAGAAGACCTTGCTGAAGTCTCTCCGGCGTCTTGATGACTTCCTGAGAACTCTCCTGCCGGAGGAGATTGATGCTGATGCTTCAGGGGACCTGCCTGAGTCTTCCAGGAGCTTTCTGGACGGGTCTGAGCTCACCCTGGCTGACTGCAACCTGCTGCCTAAGCTACACATCCTGAAGGTTCACTGATTTTCATACTGTAGGGAAAGGGTGCTCTGAAATGTTATAATTTGGTCCAAATCTGAGAGATAATACATTCTGGGAATATTAGGATTGCTTAGATCACTACAACAATGTTCCCAAAACCTGTCAACTTATTCCTGGTTACATTTTTCCTTTTGCAGGTGGTAGCCAAGAAGTACAGAGGTTTTGAAATTCCAGCGGAGATGACAGGGCTGTTGAGGTATTTAAACTGCGCCTCTCAGAGGGAAGAGTTCACCAGCACCTGCCCCGCGGAGAGGGAGATCCACTTTGCCTATCTGGATGTTGCGAAACAAATCAAATAGGCGCAAGAGTTGGAAATGAAAAATGGTGGTAAACCATGAAAAAATATATCATGTGCGTCTGTATGTAGTACAACAAGAAGACGTAGAGTAAGAAGCATGACAAGTGAGATGAAATGGAAGAAGAAGTAGGAAATGGAGATTACTTGTGTAATTAGAGCTCCGGGTTGTAGACTAGGCTATGACATAATAATATATCTATTAACTCGTAACTTCTAACTGTAGTTTCCTCATCCTGATTACCTGTGTTACCTGTGTGGAGTGTGTTCTTGTCTTCAGTTTGTGTGTGTGTGTGTGTGTGTGTGTGTGCTCTCACAGGTTGGGTTGCACTGTCATCTACTTAATCTTTGTACCATCCTTATGTTGACCAACATAATCATTTAACAACAAGTAAAGAGAGAGCTTGTATAGTAATTATTAGTTTCACCTTTCAGAAGATGGCCGGTCCACTTTCATTACAAAAACAAAATAAACAGCACAATAAACAAAGTTTAGCTTATCTAACGGGGTTTACTTGACCTCTCGTTTAATATTTTGTATCAGATCCTTCAATATATACATGTTGAAATTAAAAGAACATTACATACACTGACACAAAAACTAATGGTTTATGTAGTATATGTTAATTAGTGAGCTTTAGATATGCAGCTAAAGTTAAGCTTCAAATTTACCGTGAAGGCATTTCTTACACATCTCTTGCTTGGAAAGAAAGAAAATAAGAATATCTCCCCAAATCTCTAGGTCCTGTTTCATTCTGAGCTTTGGAGTTAAAGATGAAGTCTCATTACCATGACATATTGACCTGTGTGTGGGATTTGACAAACACAATGTCAATGCAGAAGATTTTTCAAAGCCACTAAAGTTTTCCATCCAGTGTTTTGCTGGTTCATGGCCGAGGCAGCGAAATGATTAACCTGACACATACACTAGGCCAAACATGTGTGGGCTTGGACTGGACTCACACAGCTTTATAAGACAGCAAATATTTGTCTCTTCTAAATCTACAGCAAGTATTCCTTTAGAGTCCAGTTCGTCATCATAGTTTAGTCCATCAATCGTTTTTGTGTTCCAAATAGAGCGGCTGACGTAAGGTCTGATTGACTGCTTGTTTCATCTCAGATCTTAGGAAGTGAATCTTCCTACGATGTTATCATCACTGATATCATGCACAAATTCCACGTCAGAGTACTGCAGGACCAGAGAGAGGTGCATCAGAACCAGTCCTCATATAACCTCATGACATTGTGTCTCACTTCGGCCTACAAATACAGTGATACTCTCTGACGGTCGAAGATGGATCTGAGGTCAAATCAAGGCACACAGGTCAATTGTACATTGTGCAAGCAGTTCATTGTACTGAATGTGTACTCTATGCCAATGCAATGACACCATGTCCTCAGGTTGTGATCATTGACGATATCCTGCCTTTGGTATCTAATGATAATAACAGAGTGTGAGCAGGACTTGGTGCTGATTGGTTTGAGTGGCGAAGATGACTTTGTGATGGACTCGTTCTGAGAATGCCGTTATAATCCTGTAGTCACGTACCCAGAGCATCAATGTTTATGTCCCCCGAGAATCACATTTATCCGTTGAATATAGTGCCTCGTGTCATGGTAATTAGCCATTTCTAAAAACAAAACTGATTTGAGTGTGACACAATAAAATGGTGTTTTTTAGTTTAAATCAATTTGGCATTTTATTAAAGGCTTTTGGGGACACAGTTCTAGTTCCCCCGAATACAGCTATATTTCTTTAAAATCATTAGTTTGACTGGTGTGCAGAAGTGGTTTGGTGTGTTTTCTTTCATCAAAACCACAACTTTGATAGACATCTTGGTGGGAGATTGTCGGCACCAGGCCAGCTGAGACCCCAGCCTGCTGTGCTCTGGCCTTATATCCTCTCTGGGGAGAATCTTTAATAAAACTGATTTTTATCAACGACGTCTCTTGTTGTCGCTTATTATCATGTTGTTGGAATACTGGTGTCTTTGTGTTAATGTAGAGTTACTGGATCTTTCTATTCTATTCCATAACAACCTGCATAATATGAAAAGCCTTGAAAGTAGCATGTACATGCCGCACTGACTCAGTGTCATCACAGACTGAACCAAAGCACTTTACATTGGAGCTCCTCCCAGTGGTGACCAGTCTTTATCACAGATGTTCCTCGGGTTCCTGATGTGGTTCATGCAGGCTCACTTTCACTTTCAACGGAACCCTTGAATAGAACTAAGCCATCATCCACGTCAGTGACAAAGTGTGAGCTTTGAGAAAGGTACACACACTGGGCTATCACTTAGATGTGTTTTTAGCCTAGTATCTCCGTGTTTTATAGGACTTATAGGTTTGTTGTTTCCCATCATCCTCACAGAAAAAGAAATGTCCTGATAGACAAAGTAGTTACAGGTTACGGGTTGTTGCAACCTTTTCCATTTTTGAGACCTGCATTTATTCTGACGTCTGTCATGTCGTCATCAATCTTTAACGGCTTACATTAACAATTATATTCAGAGATACACTCAAAATATTCAAGGCTGAAGACAAAATGACTTGTGCTGTTACACACAGGAAACACTGTCTAAACTTGTGTTTTAATGGAATGGATTACATTTTCACTGCTTCGTACATCTATGCTCAAAAAATTGTACGTAGAAGAGCTGGTATACTTAACACGTATGGATAAGTAAACACTGGAGCATGTGCAGACGCACACACTCATTACCGTGGCGACAGCGATGGTGACCTCTGTGGAAACCCTCTGAATGTAATGACCCAGTGTTTACCCATCCGGACAGCAAACACACAGCTCAGTTACCATGGAAACATCCAAAGGAGGAATGTCCTGCTGATCGTGGTACTGGGACTGTGAACTCATAACGCTGGGGTAATTTAACACTTCAGAGAGTATTATACTTGTAACATGTAATATCATGTTTTTTTATGATCACTCCAAAAACCCAGAAAAACAAAACTTGTGAATTAACAACATTCGATAAATAAAGACTATTTACATTAATTAGACCCACAACTATTTTACTAGATGGATTAAAAAGTAAATAAACAACAAGCTGGAAGTGACTCAGGAGGCACTCTGTGAGTTGGTCTGCCTAATGAGTGTGGATAGAAAATAAAAAATGTATTGTCCCAATGCGGTTTTTCCACACTAGAAATTAACTTTATTTCAAAGTTGCTGCACACATACATAACACAACGTGTGTCTGTCTTATAAGGAAGAGGAAGGGTTAACGGGGATGTTGGTTCATGTGTCCGGACACAAGTGGACATCGTCTTCTTTTAATTGGTCAGTCTTGTTAATTAAGGAGTGAAGGAACGGGTCTAAGTCGAGGCTGTCGCCAGTGTGAATGGCAACAGTGTCCCAGCTGGCAGATGTCCGAGAAGAGCCAGGGGAGAGGAGACCAGATGGAGGGATGAAGAGATGGAGGAATGGATAGATAGGTGGATAAAGCAGTATGAGCTTCTGGAGGCCTGCACCGATGCTGATATTTTTATTTGGACCTGCCAATAACAAGTATTTTGATTAACAATCACCACATTAAATTAAAATGCAACATTCTCACATCACTAAATGAACCATTTCTATTTACTAAGCTAGGCTGAGATGCTGGTTCCATCATTATGCATACCAAGACATCATTAGAGTTCTGTCGACCTTTTCCCTCAAGGACTCAATTCCTCTAAATTGTCACTGATACCTTTAAATCTCCACTTCACTTCACTCGTTCAATATGCAGTCTTCTGGCAATATAAAATATCTAAATATATTTATTGAATTTTTAGAAATAATCAAAAATATGTTTAATACTTCTGAAAAATGGCCGTAGAACAGAGGCCCTTGCCTTCACTGTTCATAACCACAGTCACCAAGCTTCTATACAGCTGCTAAAAACAGCCATGTTGGTTGGTTGTGTTCAGAAAGGATCATTTAGGGAAAGCTTTCTTGAAGGGAAGCCTGAAGGGACAGCTTTCCCTGTTGCTGCCTTGAAGACCTCCTCGCTAGATTGAGTGTTGCTACTACCACTAGTTGAAAACAACTAGCAACCTTGGGTGTGGTTTATCTAACACGGTTACCCAGCTGTGTCATATACATTGTCTAAGATGTGCACAACAGGGCTTGGATCATTCACGATAACGACCGGTGTCAGACCAGATGCATTCAATAAACAGCATCTAACCATTGTGGGAGAGTTTGGGGGAGATCTTTTAGATGCACGATTGGATGGTCAGGTGGACGTGAGAAGCTGGTTGAGGTGTGGGATAAGAGTATGAAGGGAGACCAGCGTTGGGGAGGTGAACTGGGACGATTAGTTCTGGGAGCAGTACTTCCAGAAGCACACTGAAGGAGAAGAGGAAGAAGAACAAGAAGAACATTGCATTATAAGCAGTTGCTATACTTTCTGAAGATAAACATTGACTATGACTTGGAGATCAATTAAAATTGTTGTTCTGGAACTTATGGTATTTTGATTTGCTTTACACAGATAAGGCATTATTGCATTACCTTAAACTGTCTCATTAGACGATATGCATTTGTAATTATACTACCTGATCTTATCTTTGTTGTAAATTAACACATTGTGGAGTCATACTATTTCCCATAATGTAGGCAGCGGTGTGAAGAGTAAGGGCAATTAAAAGCTATCGTTACACACCCCTAAGCGGGCATTGAGGGCCAATGAGAGATGGCCCTAGTTTTGGCAAAAATAGATGAGGTAAAGACAAATCCTGGTGTAATATAATAATTATGTTTTTTTTTCACCTCGTTTGTTGGGCTTCTTGGTCTGCGGTGTGAGGGACTTTTTGATGTTTCGACCAGTCAGAGGACGGGGGATGCTGCTGCCTCTGGAGGCAGTAGTGTCAACTGTTGCTGGGGCTGCAGTGGTGGGCTTCACCCCACCTTCAGGAGCAGGCGGGTGCTGGAGAATATGCAATAATGAAAGCTCGTAGTTGTGCAAGCAAGTTAAGTATTCTTTTTGAAGTGCAAATATTTTACAGCTTACCACTTTATTTCTTCTTCCTGAATTTCTGCCGTTTGCTGGAATGAAAAACCAAAGAGGCTTCAGGGAAGGAAGGGGATGAGGAGAGACCTAAAGGAGATTTTTTTGAGGAGCCAATAAGTAGTGACGGACATCGGTATACCGCCTCTCCCGCGAGGAACCACAGCTAAATACCGCTTTAAAAGCATTGCATTGCGAGGCAACAGCTTGTGTCTATGTTAACTTCCTGTCAGCTATGTTGTAATTCACATACACAGCAGGAAATAAACTTCAGCAGCATAAAACTGGCCTTCCCCTCCCCCTTTTCTGTTCGTCCACCAGCTGGTTTCTTTGTCCTTAATCCCATGTACTCATCACACACTACCATCATGTATACGCTGGCAGTCATTATTGAACTACCTAATCAAGATGAATAACGTTATTTTACAATAAACTTAATTTCTGGGTTTTCCTGTGTGATTTCTTTGTACCCAGTACAACCAATTGGGGGCTCCGAGATTAAAGTACAGGCAGTCGGACAAGTGTGATTGTGTAACATTTAGTTTAGAACTACACTAACTTCCCTTTTTATGAGTTTTAAAGATATTTGGTCAAAAAGAGTAGAAATGGTCCACTATTATGTCCTCACCTATCTTAATTTGTCCTTTAGGCCCATTCTCCTCTCACCTGCGGGCTAAGTGACCCTGACACATTGCCAGGGTGGTTACCTCTTGGTATGATGGTGATCCGTGAGCTCAGAGTGCTGTTATATGTCCTTTGCAGCTCCTCCAGGGCTGAGATCATCTTCAGCATCTGGGCTCGTTTATCTGGACCGGCTGTCGCGAGGTTGCTCCTCCCTCTCGCTGCTCTGCTCCCAGCAGTCATAGTCCTCGTTGTGGTTTTGTCAGAGATTCTGGTTGTTCCATCCATTGTGGCTGCTCTCGTATTCAGAAGCCAGTGCTTCAGGCCTGGGTCTAGTCCTGAATACTTCTCTGCATGAGTGGAACTGGGAGGAGGTTTCACAAAGCCTGGGGGGAAACAATCATAGGGATGGGGACAAGTTTTTGATGTACGTAACGCACTATTTTCACTTGGATGACTCATTATGTTGTCCTGTGGTCGTAAGCTGAGCAATGATGGAAGCTCCCTGTTCCCCAGAGCACTAAACATTGTCCTTCTTCAAACCTTTATTGATTTCATTTATTTGATGTATTTAACTGAAGTTGGCTGGTCACCAGCTGCTCCAGTCATAGTTGACCCCTTCTTTCTAGAATGGTGCTACTGCTCATGCCTATGCTCTTCTACACCTACCGTGGCCATGCTGACGCCTGCTGCTGCCATCATCATCATCATCATCATCATCATCATCATCATCATCATTATTTTAGATATTAATCATATTACTGTACTCATAAACCAACATTACCCTCTCCTAAAGTCTTTTTGCTCTCCCTCCCCACAGGCTTCTGTGGATGGTGGTTCTATCTGATGGTGGTTGCCCCTGCAGTGGTCCTGCTGTGCGCCTGGCTTACTACTCACAATTACTTGAATCATTTCTGTCATAAGAATTGCATGTATTATACATTGTCCCTCCTCTGACGTTCTCCCTAAGGTTTCTTCCCTTTTTTCCCTCTTGTAAGGTTTTTTTTCATTTTTTGGGGAGTTTTTCCTGTGCCGATGGTGGGTTTTGGGGCAGAGGATGTTGTATGTGTTCAGACTGTAAAGCCCTCTGAGGCAAATTTGTAATTTGCGATTTGGGCTATACAAAATAAAATGACTTGACCTGACTTGACTTAACTAGCACAGACTTTCCCCTAGGAAAGATAGTTTCATGCAACCATTCAACACAAACTCCTACCTGAGCGGATTCTGCAGCTTCTGTGACAACTAATTCTGACCTGCATGGGTTTACGTTGAAATTAATAAAAAGATTGGTGTGTCCCGTAAAGACGCTGGAGGGTGCCTTGATGTTACTAAGCGTTGGAATGCAACAAGTTGAAAGTGAGGACAAGATGTGTGGACAGAGGCTATTCCCGGCGACTCGCTCTGATCACGTTTTGTTTGAGTTCAGGGCTTCTGTTTTTTTTAGTCTTCTATTGCCTCTGCATTTACCTTCCACACTTACACCCCCCCCACACACACACACACACTGTGCTATTTTGCTGGGATTCCACTGCTTTGCTGGTTGCTGTAAGAGTTGCTACGAGACCTTCCACTGTGACATAAGAGGTGTATGAGTTGTGTTTATATGTGCACAATGACGTCTGAGGCAGCAACAAGGAAGCTCAGTGTTTTTGTGTTTAGACATAATTACACAAAAGACTTTACTGGAGCTTGTTTAGGAAGCTAATTTACTGCAGCTACTGAATTTACCATTCCAGCAGAGACAAATAACATGGGTTTTTCTAATAGTTTATATTGAGCCGATTGTTAAGTAACTTTTACTGTGAAGACGTAATTTGTCCTTCATATTGGTGAAGCTGACGTTTCATCAAACTAACAAGAATAAGTACAGTATGCGGATGAATCACAGTAGAAATTCAAAGAAACTACTTTTTGAAAGTCAAATGCACTACAGGTCTAACTAAAGGACACCACAATAGGAGACTTAATAAGGTTGGATGTACATGGTAGACCAACACATGCTGGGTGTGAGGCTACATACTGTTCCTGATCTGGTCATTAGCTGGCAATCGCCTCATGACAGGAAAACAATCCTATATGCTATACCTGTCAATCATGTAGAGGTGGTTGATGGTTCAACCATCATGTTTCCCTCCCCATAACAATGGGCTTTGTTGTCCAACTTTCCCTCCAGCTGTAGTTGCTTTGTTGATTCATTCTAACCTTGAACCGGGAAAATCACTTAAGAACTTTTTTTTGTGATGGTGAAATTCGGGAGTACCCGTGAGTTCATGCTGCTGGAGGACATGAGTCCCTTTGAAGCGCTTTACAGTGTGTGTGTGTGTGTGTGTGTGTGTGTGTGTGTGTGAGTGTTGTGCCTGTGGGTCCCTTACCTCTCTCCGTGGGTGCTGCTTTGGCTCCCGTACCAAGAAACACCACTACCACCATCATCATCATCATCATCACCACCTTCATCACAGACACTTGTGCGGCACTGTTAAGCATGGCGGCATTTACTGAGCACTTAAAGAACACAGGGTAATTGTCGGAGTGCACAACTATTATTACACCAACTCTCTTCTGGAGACTTGAAGTCGGGATTAGGGAGCGACAGGTTTTCTGAAGATCCGGTTTTCAAACGGTATTAGTTCCTCCTCTCGCTCAACTCATTCTTCAGAGCCTCGTGACTTTCTGTTGATGTTGGAGATGTTTTCCAAGGGGTGGACGTTCACTGAAACGGTTCTAAAGTCGGGCCGCTGTTCTCAGATCAATAAGCTCCTCCTAGAGGGTCCTGAGAAGCTCAGCTGATCCCGAAATGCTCAGGAAACCTCTTCAGGTGTAATATAATTTACACCTTTTTCCAAGTTTTCCAAGCTTCTTCTGTTTGTCAACCACACTGTGGTCTTCGTCTACCAACGTCCAAATCTTCTCAACAGCTTCAGAGTAGAATGTCCTTCTTTCTAACTGCAGGACAACGTTAAATGTTGGTTTTCCAAGGATGCGCCTCTTGAAGAAGGCTTGTCAGTATCGGATGAGTTTCTCTTCTCAACACATCGGACAATATTGCCTTTATAAACCTGTGTTAGCCTCCGAATGACGAACGATGGCTCAGTATCAACCAATGACTTGCCTGAAAGGGACTCTACCCCCGCCTCTTCCTCCTTGATGGATCGGTGACATTTGGGGAGTTTGGCGACGATCTTTGTATGTTTGGAGTCAAAGCTATCTTTTTGTGAATGCGGTATGTCTGTGTGTGTGTGTGTTTAGGCTTGTATTAAAAGTGTGTGTGTTGTGTGTGTGGCCCTGGCTGTATAAGCAGTGATAAGGTAGTTCTTAATATG